TGGCACTCCAATCAAAGGCAACCTCGGCAAAGAACTTTGCTGTACTACCAGTACAACATGATTGTGTTCAAGCCTTCTGAGCTCAATGGCTGCAATGTCCATGGAGTAGGAAACAGGAAGCCATTGGATACCAGAAATATAGATATGATTAAAGAGGTTGTCTATCAGTATTTCCTGACACCACCACCATCTGAACATGAGCTACTTCCGCATGACTGACAAAAAGCCATTGACACCTATCTCCAATCACACAAGCTTGATCATCCCAATGTTTAGACAAGTGCATGTTACTTTTTTTACCTTAATAGCTTTAACTTAAATAACTTCTTTGTAAAACATTCAGTTTTAGTGTTTGTTTGCTTCAATTTATTTTGGTTAAAGAACAAAAAATTGAAAAACAGTTATCAGGAGGTAAGGTTTTTTATTACAAGTCACGCCTTCAAAAACTGGGTTGATTTGCGCATTTAAGTTCTTTGTGACACAAAAATCTTGCAAGTAGCCTTAGACACTCAAACCTGAATTATAAGAAACAACTACATTATTTAAACGAAAACTGAGAAATATTTTTGTGCAGAGTAAAAGTAAACAAGACACACAGGCATCAGTCGATATCGCCAACTTCTCAACTGAGTCTCATCTTTCATAGAGATTTCAAATTCCTCAGACAAAGTTGTCACAATCTCAGGCTGGAATCAAGTTAATTATTGACCTCCTAAAAACTTTCAAAAACTTATTTCATGAAATTCTTGTGGAATCATGTCAAGTCATTTCAATGTTTCATTGAAACAGCAGCCATTTTGCATCCTTTAGATGTTAAGATATGTAATCGCTGATTTGATGCTTTGGCGGCAGCATTTTGAGACAGAAAACCTTTTTTCTGAAACAATGCAGAACAAAGCATGCTGACTGCATTTAAGAACAAGAGCAAAAATGTGCTCAAGACACGCCCTTTAACAAGCCTTTTTTTGCACAAAATGTGAAATATGTGCAAAGGTTTTGCAGGTGAACTGTAGTTTATGGTAGTTTGCATGTTTTTGTGAATTTCACAGGATTTGCCTGAAATTCATAGCTCCCTGACTCCATGAAAGCATCAGAAACCCTGTCATAGAAACACCTTGCCAGAAACAAACTTTGTCTTACTACTCAAATAACCCTGCTCGATAGTAATTGTCCATGGATAATGACTTTTTCAAGCATTTCATTTTGGAAAGAATTCCAAGAATTTATTACATGAATCATAGCTGATAAATATTTGGTACCCCCCTCTTAAAGCAATAGCAAAATCACTTGTTTATATATTTACCTTCAATGCTGCCCCTTTTAGAGTGCTTTCATGATTAACTGATGATAGCTTTCCATGACTCAGATATTGAAAAACAGCTGGGTGAAGAATGATGGTGAAGGTCCACTTCCCAGAATTGACACAATCTTCAGCTTAGCAGCCAAGCAGCAATTCCTTTGATTTAATACTACCATTGAATCATTTGGTTTACTCATAGAGAAAATAGCTCTTTCAACATAATCCGGAATTTCTGTAAAGGAAACACAAAACACGCTGGGATATTGTTGTCACATTGTCCATGATGCTCATGAAGATATGGTGTGAAAAGATTTACTTGTATAAGGTCAAGTCCATATACATCATAAAAAAAGATACAAATCAAACTGGTTAAGAAGTGTTCTGCTAAGGGAAACATTTAACCTCTTCACATCCCTACCAGTAGATTAAAGTATTAAATCTGATTTTGGAAAATTCCATTCACACATTCATGAAATACCGTACATCCATAAATTAGCCTACATATGTTTTGCCTAGCAATTATCCCTATATACTGAAAAGAGACCACTGCATACACAACCAGTACTGTTAAAGTTTAGAGAAAATCTTTCATTCCAAGATCTTTTTTACAAATTCTCCTAAAACTTCATCCATCTGACATTCTGCATATGGACATTATCCCTAAATACTGCAAATTAAGCATTGCAAACACATCCAGTACCATTAAGGTTCTGTATAGAGAAAATCTTTCATTCCATGAAGACCTTTTTTTGCAAAATCCTCTTAAATTTCAGTCTCCTAAAACTTGGTAACAAAGTTTTCTAGGTCTCATAAGTACTTAAGGGCAAAAAAAGGCATACCTGTAAAGCACTCTCTCCATGCTCCCCACTCTCTATTGTCAATTTGCCAATGAATACAATGGCCATCTGCACCTCCTTGATGATTTTGTCCAGCCTGTTTAACATCTTTCCATAGGTGCCTCTGCCTGATGTTAATTCTGAATTGTTTTTTGACTCATGCTGTTGAGCAACCCATGGAGGATGTCCTTGATGCTTTCCCTTGAGCTCAGGCTGAGTAACCTGTAGGGCTGGATCTATTACACAAACTTCTCTTCCTTCATCTAACAATTTGAATTTTGATCCCTTCCATCATGTGATAGATTTCTCACCCAAACATTGCAGCACACATCTGCACGTTCTTCTAATGTAATTACAGGACAAGAGAGAAAGCAATATGTGAGACATTACACATCATTGTCACCAGGGATGATCTCTACTATATGTAATACTGAATATTTACTTGCAGGGTCTGTTCTGAACACTTGTTCCTCATCATTTTTCTGTGTTTCATCATTGCTTCAACCAAGCTGATCTTCCCACTCATTGTCACTTTCATAAAACCTTGTAACTCAGAGGACAAAAAGTCACTTTACTGGAAATACAAAAATTGAAATGGCTATACAATTTTTTGTCTTCTCTGCATTTTTCAACCCCTCTGTTGTGCCACATAAATTCATCACCCCTGTCTGGTCAGGGAAAAGCAGAAAAAAGTCTAAACCTTCATGGACCTTTTTTTGTGACAAGTGTGTTTTTTAGAGCTTTGAGAATCACATCACCAGTGGCTGTTGACTTTTCATTCACAAGGAACATCTTTCCTTGGCACCGCTTCAGGTTTAAAGTCAAGCTTCTGAACAAGCAAGTAGAATATGGTAATGAATATTGGTACAGCTTTGTAGGTACAAACAACTTTGCAAAAGAAAATTTCCAAAGACAAGCTTAGCCCTTTACACCCTTATATCAGCATGCTTAATCTCTATCCACACAATTCTCTACACATTTCTTAAGGTGCTAGCAAAGAGAATTTGTTTAACAATCAAGAACTTCCTCATTTAGGGATCATTTCCTCTACTCTTGTGACCTTAATGTGCAATTCAGGCGTGATATTTTAAGGAGAATTAGTCACTTTTAGGGGTTAGAGGAACTACATGTACCAAAAAGTGACAAGGCAAGTAAAAATGTATTGTAACTTAGTTCACTGTCTGTATATTTTCAATGCATATGAGAGGAAACATTCAGGGCACCTTAAATGTACCTTAACTCTAACTTGTTCACTCTTTACTATTCTTATAATGTGTGCAACTGTTATAGCAACTCATTATAAACAACAGAAACAGAAAATCAGTGGGGATGTCATGTTATTTCTTAACTGAATAAATACATTCTGATTGATGATGTCCCTTTAAATCACAAGTTGTGACAAAGAACCCAAGAATCAAGAGGAGCTGCTTCTGCAGATATCTTTTACATCAGAGGCAATCTTATCATGATTCATTACTACTATGACTCCTTTTAATCAGCCAATTTTCTCGTCACAAAATACATTTCACGTAATTGTTATTGTTGTTGGCTATGTTGGCACCTACCTTTGGTATTTGTTACATACAATCTCCCAGTTCAGTAATGTTATCATTCCACTTAGACTGTTGTTATTGTGATCTTTGAGGTGTTGATATTTTTAGGATTTAATCTGAGGCTCAATGCCGTCGTTGGTGATGGTATTGATCATAAACCTGTCTTTAATCGTCTGAATGCTCACATTCATCCTTAAATTGGCAAAGATAAATATGGGTCTATCTGATCACTATTTCATGCTAATTAATTGAAGCACTTCCTTTGACCTTATATACAAAATTAAAAATGAAATAGGCCAAGTTTCCTTTTTAAGAAATACACACAAAGTAATAATGTTAGAAGCCGGAGCCAATGGTCAAAACTGAAGAATTAGGAGTTATTACTTTTTTTTCCTTTCCCTATTTTAAGTTGATGCATTTCATTCTCAAGTTCTTCAATAAAACAGTTACATCAAACCAATGTTTCTATTAGCAGTGCTATGCCATGTACACAGTGTGAAATAATCATTACCTTTGCTTCTACCAATCATGTTTTATCAAACCAGTTCTCGAGCTTTGGATTTGCCATCCAGAGGCTATTGTCCTGTAGGGAAGCCACATTTTCCTTAAATTAATCCTTTGATGTTGATTTGGCATCAGCACAAAGTAAAGTCAAAACTTCCATTTTTAATCTTCGTCAGTCACCTCTCCCACCGGTGGTGCTGACAAAGAAAGTCACAGATGAGTCAAATGCATTAGAAGTACAGCGGATTTGTGAAAGCATACAAGAGTGCCATTTATTTAGACTTGTGTTAGTTGTTGGTGTATTTATAAGAAGTGTACAAATAATGCATCTATAATACAAATCTACAGCACCACACAGGTGTATGTATTAACCAACCTCCAAATGACTGCTGTTTTTTTCACAAGAAAGTGCATTTTCAATCATCTTCGCTGACTAGTGAGCAGTCAGCAAAGATGACAGTTGTGTCTTTTCTTGCTCCCACTCGTTAGCACTTGATCTTGTTCACTTATTATAAATTTGACAAATTTAATAGTATTACTTCAATTCTAACTACTTCATGATGCCTGATAAACGAAAAAATTAAAGGAAAGAAAGTTTTCCATATGCAGAAGCAGACGAAAGTCACAATTGCAATGTGCTGGAGATATCTTTGAGTGTTGTTCAAGAACTTCTTAAAGCCCGGGAATGCGTCATGAAGTTGTTCATGGAGTCCATTGTTGCAAGTGTATAGCTTCTTGTAGTGATGATCTAATTAAGGATGTTGCTTATCTTAAGGCCAGTTTGCAATTCAGCCAACAGGAGATCTCAAGCCATGAAGAGAAGATCAAGTTAATCAACACCAATGTCTCTAGTCTTCAGGCACTTGCCAACAAACATCTACAGAAGGCTGTGTACTTGTAAAATCAAAGTAGGAGGAACAATCTCCATTTTGAAGGATTAATGGAAGATGATGGTGAAAGCTTGGAAGAAACTGGAGAGAACGTGAAGAACTTCTTTGTCTAAAAACTTAATTTTGAGTCAGTTCCTGAAATTGAGCATGCTCATTTCACTGGCTGTCCAAGAAGACAGGATGGAACCCCAAAGCCAAGAGCAGTTGTGTGCAAATTCATCGGCTACAAAGCGAAGGATTCCATTCTTAAGACAGCAAGGAGAATAAAGCCAGAGGGAATTCACATCTTTGAAGATCTGGCTGAGGAGACCATGGAGAGGAGGATAGCTCAACTGCTAGTCCTTTGCTGTTGTGTCTATCCCTGTAAGGTTTAAGGAACATTTTGAGTCAATTTTATCTCAGTTATCAAGAGAAAATAAGAATGTCTTCCTTATGGGAGACTTAAATCTTAACCTATTAAACTGTGAAAGCCATCTGGAATCCAATGATTTCCTGCTAATGCTGAACTCTTATTTTCTTCCTCCCTATATTTTACAACCAACACGTATTACCAAAAGATCTGCAACCCTAATCAATAACATATTTGCAAATACTTATGCTGCAAATGCTACTAGTGGTAACTTAGTCCTAAGAATCTCTGATCACCTTCCCCAATTTTTGATTGTAGATAATGTTAAGGTAAATTATAAAACTCTAAACTATTATAAAAATAATTATTCTAAGTTTGATGAAGAAAAATTTATCAATGATTTCTCACTTCTTAACTGGGCAAACATTCTTAATGATTTAGATGCTAACATTAAATTTGATGGTTTTTTTATTAACTGTCATGCTCCACACTGGAAGCTCTTAAAGCATGAAAAAAAGTTTTCTACTAAAACCATGGATAACAAAAGACGTGCATGCTAAGATACAGAGATAAGCTCTACTCCCAGATCATGAAAGTAAGCAACCAGATCCAAATCTGAGATCTCTTCACAAGAATTCAGGAAAAGTGTTGTTAAAGATATCAAATCTAGCAAGTCTAATTACTTTAGAATTACTTTTTGTGTAACAGGAATGATATTAAAAAAATCTGGACAGGAATTAGATCAATCATAAACATCCGTAAAGTTAAAGCTGACTATATTCCCACCCTTTAAGAAAGTGGCAAATCTATTGACAATCCCTGTGCTATTGCCAACATTTTCCACTATGCTTTTTTTAATGTGGGTAGAAACACTGACAAAGATATTCCACAGGGGAATTGCTGTCCTGCCTCTTTTCTAAATGAAAATTTTCCTAGGTAACTGGACATTTCACACTAAAGACTTTTTGCACAAATCTTTTCACACAAGGTTTGGACTTTTTGCACAATTCTTAGTAGTCATCTCACACAATAATTATAAGTGAGAAAGGTATCCAGTCAAGTCGCCGACAGTTCAACTCACCAACGCCAACTCGCCAACGTATAAAATCGAGTAGAGATGTTGGCGAGTTGGTCTTCAATCTAGTATAACTTATTAGAAGTTAAACATACAGAAAAGTAAAAGATATTTAGTGAAAAAAACAATTTTGTTTTCCTCCAACAAAGTTTATAAGGATCTCATGGCGAATAAAGCAAGGTAAACATCGCCAATGAATATAAAAGCTTCAGACGCGAATGTGAGTTATTGTGTGACAATACTGTAAAGACTCACCATGTCAGTCGATCAGATTATTTTAAGAAAACTTGGCTTTCTAGACAAGATCTTTAGTAAAAAACAATTCTTTTTATTTCCAACAAAGTTTATAAGGATCCCAAGGCAAAGAAAAAAGGTAAACATCGCCAATGACCAAAAAAGCTTTAGACACAAATGAGTTATTGTGTGACAACAACACTGTAAAGACTCATTATGTCAATCGGTCAGATTTTCTAAAAAAAAAACTGGGCTTTCTAGACAAGATCTTAAGTAAAAAACAATTCTTTTTATTTCCGACAAAATTTATAAGGATCTCAAGGCTAATAAGGTAAACAAGGTAAACATTGCCATTAACCAAAAACGCTTCAGACGCAAACGAGTTATAACTCATTCACGTCTGAAGCTTTTATATTCATTGGCGATGTTTACCTTGCTTTATTCACCATGAAACCCTTAAAAACTTTGTTGGAAGAAAACAAAATTGTTTTTTCACTAAACATCTTTTACTTTTTTATATATCTATCTTCTAATAAGTTGTACTGGATTGAAGACCAACTCACTGACGTCTCTACTCGATTTTACACGTCGGCGAGTTGGCGTTGGTGAGCTGGCGTTGGCGAGTTGAACCGTCGGTGACTTGACTGTAATTCGTGAGAAATATCAATATGAAAGGTATACTAATTGGTACTGATAAGATATTTCACCTTCACATGTCACTGTTCTGTCTGTTGCAGAAGGTATGTTTAACTTGCTATTGAATTCAATTGCCTTCCTGATGAATTCCTTCTTTCTTAAAGACCGTCACCACCTGATTTCCTTGACAAAAGAACAACTGAAGTTATTGGCAGAAACAAAGTATTGGTATGCATAATAATAACATTGCAACTTACCATTGATGAATAACATTTAGTCATACAGTCAAGAGACTTAATTAAAAATTGAATAAATTTCAATTAATTACTTTCTCTGTTGTCAGGTATGTGGACAGTACTTTCAAGCTTTGTTGCCAACCTTTTGTACAACTATATTCAATCAATGCCTTTGTGTGCAAGGACGACTGTAGCAAACAGGTTCCCTAGGTATTCATGCTCATGTCTGGACAAGTTTTCAATAGTGTGCAATTATAATAAATGTGAAATAGCTAGCTACCTAAACACAGCAGCTCTTAGTTCCGTTATTGCTGAAGCCCTTAAGGGCTCATTTGATGGCCTAAGGGATTCAATGAATGCGGATTTAAATGACTTGAACAATTTGATTGCATCGCGTTCAGGCTGCAATGGTGATGAAGACTGCCAATAATTGTGATTCGAGCATGTCTAAGGACCACAATGAATCACTTGTCAAAGAACAGCCACTTGCCAAGAAAAAGAGACTGAACAAACAAGGAAAGAAAAGCATTCCCCTGATTACTAAGCTGACCAAAACTCTACAGCTCACCAAGTATGTAGGTCCCACTATCAATGGGGAACTTGCATCACTTGTGGATGAAATTATGAGAGAGAAAGCTAAGGAAGACAAAATAATGGAGTTAAAGAAACAACACAAAACTCTCAAAAATTATGCCACCTTGTCAGAGACCAAGGTCAATCAAGGTGTCTGGAACAATTTGGACAAGTGGGCTCTGTCAACTGACTGAATTCCAAAAGGTTCAGAAAAGTCTGATTAAAGTAGTCGTGTCAGAGGTGAACAAGCTGATGGGCAACTCAGAAATTCAGAAAGAAGAGACTGTTTGTGCCCTAATGGATGGGGTGCTCCTCTTAGCAAATGCTAACCAGGAGTTAAAGCATCAACAGAGAGAGAGTTGATGAGACCACAACTCAATACAAATTATAGACATCTTTGCAGTCCATCAAATCCAGTGACAGCTGAATTGTTTGGAGATGATCTCCCAAAGGCTGTTAAAGACATCTTAGACACAAACAGGCTAAGTTTAAAGCTCACCAAGGACAGCAGCTCTAGTCACTCAAAGAGTAGCCAATAACACCATGGTTGGCATGGAAAGAAATAATTACTTGAGAAATTGCTCACCTGCTTGAATTAGGTGTTGTTGAGCCTGCTGTACACACTCCAGATGAATACATTTCCACTATATTTGTCAGGAAAAAGAAAAGCAGTCAATACTTCATGATTTTGAATTTAAAGCACAACAAGCACATAGAGAAACACCATTTGAAAATGGGTACTCTTTGGTCTGCTGTGCGACTCATGACTCCAAATTGTTTCATGGCATCAATTGATTTAAAAGATGCCTACTACTTAATTCCCATTGCTGAGGAACATTGCAAGTATCGGAGATTTTAGTGGGAGGGTTTTCTCTACCAGTACACATGTATGCCAGATGGGCTTTCATCTGCACCAAGGTGTTTTACTAGGCTGTTGAAACCAGTATACTCTACCTTAAGACAGAAAGGTCACCTAAATGTGGGTTCATAGATGATTCATACCTCCAGGGTAGAGATACCAATGAATGCCTGCTTAATATCTCTGATACACATACATTATTTTTCAGCTTGAGGTTTGTGATCAATGTGCAGAAATCATCTGTCACACCAGCTGAGCAAATTACATTTTTAGGTATTGTCCTTGACTCTGTGTCCATGACAATTACTCTCACTGATGACAAAAAAGCCAAAGTGAAAGCTAACTGTAAAGCAATGCAACAATAACATGAAACCACTATCACTGACCTAGCCCAATTACTTGGCCCTCTAGAAATAGAAAAGAACTTGGCCCTCAAAGAGCATAAGGGTATCTATGAGGCTCTCATACCTCTGTTCTTAGGTGCAAAAGACCTTGCTTGGTGTATTGAAAATATGGACAAGGTTTTTAAGCCAATATCACATGGAAATCCTGTCATTGAGATTAGAACCAATGCATCGAAAAAGGGCTGGGTGCATACCTTGATGGTGATACCACCCAAGGCTTGTGATCTGGTACAGAAAGCCAGTTGCACATCAACGAAAGCAACTCACTTCACCTTGCAAGCTTTTGGTAAAAGGCTAAAAAATAAGCATGTCAAAATACTTTGTGATAACTCAACAGCTGTAACATATATTAATGCTACAGGTGGAACAAAATCTGCAAGTTGCAATCAAGAGGCATATGACATAAGGGATTGATGTGTAAATAACAACACCTGCTTAACAGCAACTTGCATAGCTTGAGTAGAAAATGCTCAAGCTGACAAAGAGTCCTGGTGGTTTAATGACTGCACTGAATGCGCCTTAAAAAGGGAGATCTTTACACAAATAACCACCCATTGGGACACCCCAGAAATTGATCTTTTTGCCAACAGACTTAAACAGCTCCCCAGGTTTGTCTCTTGGAAACCTGACCCAGCCTCTTGTTTTGTGGATGCATTTACTATTGGCTGAGATTCCTTGTATTTTTATGCTTTTCCACCTTTTTGTCAAATTCAAAGATGTTTACAAAAAATTTTGGAGGACAGTACCTAAGGGAATCATGATCTTACCACTTTAGCCCACTCAAGTTTGGTGGCCACAACTTCTAAGAATGATAATTGCAATTCCATTTGTGTAACCAAAGCACCAGGACCTACTCTCACTGTCACATTCTCTCCAAAAGCTTCACCTCCTGCCTGGTAGTCTATCCAGGATTAGGGGATTTCACAAGCAACTGCAAAGCTCATCATGGCTTCATGGCAAAATAGAACAAAGAAAAAATACTGTAACAGTACCTGCATCAAAAAATGGCAAAACTTTTGCACTCTGAGGCAAATCAATCACATTCAACCATCTTTAGTGCCTGTGCTTGACTTTCTCACTGCACTACATCAACAAGGCCTTACATACAATGCCATTGACACTGCCAGAAGTGCTTTCTCTAGCTCTGTTACTTTAGAGGATGGGACATGTGTAGGAAAACACCCACTAGTGTCCAGGCTGAGGAAAGGCATTTTTCAGGAAAAACCTCCAAGACCAAAGTACACAGAAATTTGGGATGCGTCTATTGTCCTGATATATCTATAGTCTCTATTCCCTGTGGATACCTTGTCATTGAAGGAACTGACTCTAAAACTTGTTGTGTTAATTTTGTTAGTTTCTGGCCAAAGATCGACTGCATGGTTTTTTTTAAATAGTTGCTACACCTTCCAGCTTGTGGAACATCTGAAGCAAAGCAGACCACACATATCGGGCAATAAACAATAAAGGCGGTAATATTCAATAAGACAAGGCTCATGATGTTCACCTACAGAATGACAAATATGCCTCATGACACATGGTTCATATTTCAAATCAAGCAAGCCTCCAACAAATGTTTTGGATTCATTTTCTTTAAAACAGATGTAATTATCACCTATTTCAAAATTCTTTAAGCAGATTTGCCTATGCTCCCCTCCATGGAGACCACATAATTTGCCATTATAGTAATATACAACATTTAACAAAGATTTAGCTGTCTCCATACCAAACACTCCACTTTGCCACAACTGCCTTTCTTCATCAGTGACTGGCTCTTTTTCTTTTGTTTTGCTTTCAAACCAATGCCAGCTCGAGTCCCATCCTTCATTTCCACATCCAACATTCGTCTAAAGATAGCAAATCTAATAAGGAAAAGAGAAAAGTTTGATGCAATTTCCTTAAGTTTTAAAATATCAAACGGCCCCCCTGTAACATATAAACACTCTACCGATGTTGGAGTTAAACAACACACGTTTTATTTCATGCTGTGCCTACAAGAGGTCAGTGGTATACATAACATCCCCCCCTTCCCTCTCTTGATAATAACAACAACAACAACAACAACAAAAAAAAAAAAATATATATATATATATATATATGGTAACTGAACAGAAACAGAAAGTGTTTGCACAATTAACAGTGTCTGTTATTGCTATGTTTTCAATGCCTGTCCAACTCTGAAAATTAATTATAGGTCTAGTTTCACTGGCTTCTTGACTTGTCTGCCACTTCAAGTTGTGTATAGGGTCAAGCCCCTAGTTGCTGCTACTTCAGGTGAAGGCGGTATCTTTCTTGCTGGGCTTTTCCTTGTGACTGACTGGTCTGGCTGGTAATCTAATGGTAGCTTCTCCATACGTGCGTCTGGCATGGGTGGTGGCACTGCATGCGGCACTACACATGGTTTCTCAGGATCTGTCTCTACCTCCTCGATGTTTGCATGACAGCTCTGATACCCTGCATGTGACTTGGGGGAGTCTGTTCTTAGTGCCACGTCCCATGGAGAGTTGAGATAGAGAGAGGTTGATCCCTTGGATTGGGGTTGCTCAGTACTCTAGAAGTGCTTTGTTCTTGTCGTTGTTTTTCCTCCATAGTGATTTTACTGTTTTGACTGCTGCTTCTGCTTCTCCATTTGCACAGGGGTGCTTGGGACTCACTAGGACATGTTCAAAGTTGTAGCTTCTGGCAAAAGTCTCAAATTCCTTGCTTGTGTATTGGACACCACAGTCAGTCACCAGTTTTGCTGGAATACCATGTCTGCTGAAATGTTCCTTCAGTGCTTCGATGGTATCCTGGGAATCAAGGTAATAGAGTTTAGTTACTTCAATGTACTTGGAGTAATAATCAACCAGTACCAGGTAATGACGCGTAGTTGTGGCACATGGTACAGTCTTTTACTTTGTCTTCTATTTAAGCACTCATTCCAGGCCAATAAAGTGCGTCCTGTTCTGTGTATTAAGGCAAACATGGCTGGTCTCATGGACGATGTAACACAATCTTCATCCCTCTGTAGATTACACCATCTAAGACTGCAAGTTCATCACGTGACTCCCAGTATTCTAGTATGCTGTGTGGGACCTGTTGTTTTGTTTCTGGCCACCCTGTTTGAATCATAGCGTACAGCTCGTTTGCAGTTTTTTGTTGGAGTTCTGTATACTTTGGCTCTGAAATGGATATTCTTTCCAGCATGTTTACTTGTATCTCGTCTTCGTCCATTTGTAGTTCATTCAGACTTGCTCGGCTAAGGGTATCAGCGAGAACTTGCTTCTTGCCTGAAGGATACCCCACTTTTAGGTCATAATCGCTTACTTTCAACATCATTGCTTGTAATCTTAATGGTGCCGTTACTATTGGTTTGTGGAGAATTGTCTCTAGGGGCTTATGGTCGGTCTGATCCACAGTCATTTTGCATAGAATGTACTCTCTAAATTTCTGTGTACTGAACACAATTGCCAGCATTTCTTTCTCCATTGGGGCCCAGTTGATTTCAGATTCTCAAAGTTTGCGAGACATGTAAGCTACTGGCCTTCCCTCTTGGACTAGGACTGCACCCACTGCTTCCTTGCTGGCATCACACTGTATAGTCACTTCCTTATTGACATCATAGTAGGCTAGCACAGGGGCTTTACAGCACATATATTTGAGCTATTGGAATGCATCTGCCTGTGGCTTATCCCAGTGGAAAATTACTTCTTTTCTAGTGAGCTCTTGCAACAGGGTTTCAACTTCTGCAAGCACTGGGAGGAACTTGGTCAAATATTGTATGGATCCCAGGAATCGATGTACATCCTCTTTTGTTTCTGGAGGTGGCATATCCTTCATGGCTTTCACTTTTTCTGGGTCAGGTTTGGGTCCTTCTGCTGAGATAATGTGGCCCACATATTGGACTTCACACTTTAACCTTGTCAAAATTCAATCTGAGGTTGTAGCTTTTGGCTCGCTGGAGTACTGCCTCTAGCACCAAGTCATGATGAGCAAGGTTACGACCTGTGATTAATATGTCATCCATAATGGCATATGCATGATTGATACCTTCCAACATTTCATTCATGGTCCTTTGATACCTCTCTGGAGCTGATTTGATTCCAAAAGGCAGCTTCAACCATCTGTATCAACCTATAGGAGTGTTCATATTTGTTAGTAGGCTGGACTCGTAGTCAAGTTTCATTTGGATACCCCCTCTTTGCATCAAGGACTGTGTTGGCTATGGGAAACCAAAGTCTTCTTGGTTTTCTTAATACAGTCTGTTGGTGCTATTTGTCTGAGCTGGGTGGTGTTAATCACACTTGCATAGGCACCAGTGTCGAGCTGACAAAACAGGGTGCTATTACCCACTTTCAGGAATTCACACCATTTGTCCTTTTCACCTGGGTTCTAGTTGTTGTTGATCCTGTTTATTTCTAGACTTGCTACATGTAGTAGTTGTAAGTCCCTGTCAGCACCTTCCTCATCACTGGAATATTCATCTCCCGAATAGTCTGTTTCATTCAACACCTTAACAATACTTTTCCGACTTCTGCACACTTGGGCAGTGTCCAGTTTTCCTGCACTTATTACACGACTCATTCTTGGCTGGACACTTTTCTTGTGGCTTGTGTGCATTGTATCCACACCTGTCACATTTCTGGGCTTCCTCATTGTTACCTTTTGGTTTCTTGAAATTTCTTGCCTTTTTATGCTGCCTAGAAGAGTCCTTCTTCCATGCAACTTTACTAACTTCAATTCTCGGGTCTTCACCTGACATCACCTACAGTCCATCCCTTGTGGCCTTGAACATTCGACCGATGCTGATGGTTGTTTCAAGAGTAAGGTTTTTGCTTTTTTCCAGGCAACGTTGTTGTACTCGTTCATCCAGTGATTTACATGCGATGGCGTTCCGAATTAAATTATTAGTCTCAGTCGTGTCTAGCCCACTGGCTAGGAGCTTGAGGTCAGTGACGAAGGAATCAAATGTTTCCCCTTGCAGTTGGTGTATTCAATCAAATTTGACTGCCGCCATTATTGGGTTCTTTTTGGCTTCGAGGTGTCCCTTAAATTTTTCGGTGACTCGTTCAAGTATGTCCCTTTCACTGATGTCATGTCTGTTTTTCCCTGATCCAACTTGAACAGTGTCCCACTGGAAAGTGAGGTAAATCTCTCGGCCCTTGTCACCGGCAAAGCTCATCAGGTTGAATATTTTCTCTTTTTCTGTGCACTTGCTGAGTGGTCCTCAGAAAGCAAAGTTGCAGTGTTGATAAAATCTTTCCCACTCTTTACTCAGGTCCATGGCAGCCCAATTCATCGTTGGCCAGTTGTACAATGCGTTAGCGTATCCTTCTGCCATATCTTTACGCTAAGTTTTGTTCGGCGGCACTTGAAATCCCACTATTCTGACACCATTTAACATATTAACACTCGACCGCCACACGTTTTATTTCATGCTGTGCCTACAAGAGGTCAGCAGTATACATAACACCCCCTCTCCAATACCACCAATTTAAGTGACTTTTGTATGAAGAGTCCAAGGGATTGAACTCAATGGCTGGGTTCTTTGCCATCATGAGTTGGCAAATGCTGC